ACAGTCAGTTATACTTTCTGGTTGATGTACTCAGTGTGGTAGATGAACAAAAGGCTCCTCTACGGGGTTGCAGTGTAATGAGGGGCAGTTTGATCCTAAATATGTTGCTCTATAGAGTTTTCCATCTCACTGCAGGACAAAAGGGACAATCCATCAAATTTGGGTCATCAGAGTCTTCTACGTTGTAAATCAACTCACTGAGCAGAATCAGTTGTGTCATCACGGCTGTCTGTGGCCCTCAAGCACATGTGACCCTTACAGCTACATTGCTTCTAGTTGTAGGTCTCAGAGCTCTGTGACATTTAGAGAGACTCAGCACTCAGAAATTCTCATTTAAGTATGCCTTGTGTGTAACTGAGTACCTCAGAAATAGGGGAAAAGGAAAGGGAGAGTGTATGATGAGGTTTGGCGGATGAGACAACCTGGATAATCTTCAAAGCTGCTTGGAGGAGATTCAAGGTTTGTAAAACTTAATTAAAGAATTGCATTTCTCAAAACAAATGTCATGTTAGCATGAACTCATCAAATACAGTAGACATTGCAGTAAACTGTTTCCTTTGTAACTCACTTCAGAATCATCACATTTGATCAAAAGCAACTGTATTTAATGCAATCATGTCCCAACTACTGCAGTCGAGTTAGGTTGCAAGAGATGAGAGGAGAGAAAAGTAGCCAGAACATCATAACTGATATGATTTAGCCCCTGTGATTAAAAACCATGCATGACATGCTGATTTTAGACATGCTATGTCATGTTAATCCAACTGTTTTCAGTTCCTTTAAGGGAAGACACACTCACACCATGAATGATTTATTAAGAAACTAATGAAGTGGATAGAAAAGCAAGTGAATGGGACAGCGCAAGAAGACAAATGAAAAAGAAAAGCATGAATTATCAACCTAATTTTCCATCTCTGCAATCAATGCTTATGAGGTCGAAACTGTCATTTTTGGCATGGTAGTAATTGCTTTTGGCCCGTGGAGGACCCTCTGACTCAGGAGAGAGAGGTGGTTGAACACATCTGGAGTGTTTCCGATGCTCCTGAGAGCAGGACAAGAACTCCATTCAGGTCTTCCTCTCCAACCGCTGATTATGACCAACAACAGAAGTTAAACGAACGTCTGGTCCAACACTGTGTTTTATTCAAATCAAACCTCCATTCAGCCCATTGAATCTGATTGAGATGAAAGCTGTGGCTGCAGGAAACACCTTGTCCAGAGAAATACATTTTTAATTTGCTTAAGTCAATCCAGGTGCGTGTCAGGAAAGCCAGTGGGGAAATTTCATGGCGGATGCAAGAGAATGCACCCTCCTGACCTGATTAGAATAAATTATGAAACAGTTCCCTTTCAGTCTTTAGAGATTATGTATAAAATGCGATGAAATTAACCTTACTTAAACAGGCACCTTAAAACAAACACAAAGTTCTTTGAAAATGTTTGAAAGCCAACACTTCAATTCAGAAAATAAAACCAAAGCCCAAAGTGGCCCACTTGACACCGTCACTCAACAAAATCAACTAGTCATCTGTGAAAATGACTGTTGATAAGAACTTCTTATCTGCAGCCCAGGATCTATTTATCCCAGCTCTGTCTGCTTGGGGGGGTGTATATTATTGTAAATGAGGCCATAGAAAGGCCCTTGTGGTTCAGTGAGAGAACAAGTGTGTGTATGAGATCTAGTGCAGTATGTAAACCGTTTGACATCAGTGTTTGGGCTTTCTTTATGAGAACATCTGTGGCAGCTGCCCTATAAATTCCCAGTGTTGAGAAAACAGGAACAAAAAGTTCCATTTTTGTATAGCAGTGTACCATGGCGAGAAGAGGACTGCGTCGTGCCTCATCTGGAGCACCATGGCCAGAGTTTAGGGAAAGTCAAATCGGGGATGGAGAACTGAGACAGTGTTGCTGTGTGTTTACAAGTCTGTTCTGCATAGCAACAGTCAGCCTTGAAGTTGGCTCAATGATGGCCATCATATCAAATCTAGAGGACAAACACACACATCTCTTCACGTTGTTTTTTCTGTATTTCTACAGACAACAAAGTCTTAGGTATTTCATGTGTGTTTTTCTAAATTACTTACTTACTTTTACGTTCTGTCAAGACTCGTGTGTGTTATTCTCTTGACTGTTATATATTATGACTGTTATATATTATAATAGCAATATTGGTTCATACTGTTATAAGTGTTGTTTTGGGTTATGTTTGAGTTGTGTTTTTCCCTCTGTGTTTCTGGTTTTGCCATTGTTTCATGTGTTTTTCTATTTGCCTCTGTTTCTCTCGTTCCTTGTCCTTAGTTGTTTATGTCTTGTCTTTTATCTTAGTTCTTAGTCCTGCGTTTTAGTTCTTTGCCTTAGTTCTTAGTCTTGTGCTTTTGTTCACGTTTAGTGTTTTTTCCTGGCCTGTGTACTTCTGTGTTTTATTATTTTGGTCTGTGTCTTAGTCCTTAGTCTTGTGTCTCCATGGTTTAGTTTAGTCCTGTCTCTGTCCATGCCCTGATTTTTGCAGTCTTTCCATGTTTGTGTTTTACTTTGGTAGATCTGTCCTTGTATGTTCCCGTGTACTTCACTTCCTGTTTCATTTTGTAATCTTCTGTGCCTGGTGTTCTTGTCTAGCTTTGCTCCTGTTAGTTTAGTGTATTTTTGTCTTGATTATTAGTTTATTACCTCTGCCTTTGTTTTTGTACTTTTGGTTATGGATCTGTGTTTGCTTGTAGTCATTTTGGTTTTCTCTTCATTCTGTTATGGATTAGTTTCCTGCCTGGTCAACTTGCTGTTTCACTCTGTCTCGTTTCACTGTGTGTCTGCTGTGCCTAATTAGCTGCTCATGCATTCCCTCTCTGCTTGTTTGCCTGTGCATTTCAACCCTTTGTTCAGTTCTATCAATGTTGTGTCCTTGTGGTATGTTGAGTGTTCTTGCCTGTTCCGTCCCTTGTTCGTTGGATTACTCTGTTACACAGTTTTGGTCTTTGCCTTGTGCTTCAAGCCTGTTCTGTTCAGTTTTGTGTTTAATAAATGTTTTTGAACTGCAAACTCTTCGCCTTTTGGTCTGCATTTGGGTCCACACCTCAGCTCCCTGCCACTACACTCAGCCTAAACCATGATACATACAGTATGTCGTTGTTGTTGCATTTGCTATCTATGAATGTCAACCTTGACTATGATGTCAATCTACAGTTATACTACAGTCTCATTGCCAGAGCTTGTTTTTATTACTCAAGGCTTGTGGTTAAGTACAGTGACCAACTATTTAAAACATTATCACGTTACTAGGTTGTCAGTATACTGATAAGGAGGAGGAGCTATCATGCTCCTCTCCTGTGGAATCAGGTCCCACTTTAGGTTCGGGATGCTGACACCATCTCCACATTTAAGAGTAGGCTTAAGACTTTCCTCTTTGATAAGGCTTATAGTTAGGTCTGCCTCAGGTGAGTCCTGAACCATCCTTTAGTTATGCTAGGCCTAGACTGCCTGAGAACTTCCCATGATGCACTGAGCTCCTCTCTTCTCCTCTCCCTCTCCATCTTATCCCATTGATGGGGATAAGAATGGATATCAAGTACAATCATTCTTATCCCATTATTGCATGTTACTAACTCGACTTTTGACTACCGTAGTTTTGTGGTTTCTCATTCCTCTCCTCTAACCTTTTATCGCTATCTGGAGGTATTTCTGCCTCCAGAGCTGTGGGGTCAGGATCTGTGGTTATGGTCCGCCTGCTGCCCGCATGTTCCTGCTTGACACCCGCTGCTACAATTATCATTATTAGTCCTATTATATTTGTCATCAATATTGCTATTGTTAATAGTACTATTCATTTTCTGTCTCTATAACTACCACCTTTAATGTTTTTGTATTTCTGTGTGGATATTGTATAGGGCTGCTTCTCTCTCTCTCTCTCTCTCCTCTCTCTCTAAATAAGCATTTAAATAGAGACATGAAAAGTCCCCCCAGCGTTGGGGAGTAGCTAGTCACATATAAGTTCATTATGTAATTTAATTACAATATAAATGTAACTGTAACTTTTTTGGTTTTTTTACAGTTACTGGGAAAATGTGTAATTAAATAACAGTTGCTTAAGAAAATGTTCATGATTACATTGGGGGTTTCATCTGAATATTTTCTGTAAAAAGCTAGCCTATAGGCTATAGAACAATATTCATTTTTGTTGCTTTGCATGTTTTTCATGTGCACAATGTGTTCCTTTGCCATTTCCAGCAGAAAAGTAAAAAGTAATTAAAGGTAATATGCTGCATTACTTTGATAATGTAATAATAAGTTGCAATATAACAAAAATATTACAATATTACAAAATAAGTTACTATTATATTTTAAATAGGGTAACTTGTCATCAGTAACCTTTTACATTTAGAAAGTAACCTTCCCAACATTGTGTGTACCAGTATTGTTCCAATCAGTGCACCTGACATTATAATAGTGCAGTTACATTAATATTAATTTTCTACATGTTGGATGACAACATTTTACAATTTACATATATGTTGTACATGTAGCCTACATTGTGAATGAGCAGAACACGTACATCAACACAGCGCTATACACTGGCAGGTAAGAGCCCAAGACCATTATCTTGTCGGTGACTGGGGATGAAAATGATTTGTTTCGCTACAGCTCTGTGTAATGCAATGCAATGAAGTATTTTATAGTCCCTGTAAAATAAGCTTGTTTTGCAGATTTCAACTAATGCTTTATTTTATTTAATAGAAATCATAGCCTATATAAAAGAATAAATATAGATAGAAAGAGATGGACAGAAATATAGCCTAATTTCGATTTCGAGTCTACACAGCACTTTCAATATAATGTCCGACAGTGAAATTTGTACGGAGAAAAAAAGAGACCGAATCAGTAAGACATCTAATATTTAAAACTATTTTTAGATGATTTGTAACTTGAATAGTAGACTTTTAAATTTTATTTGAAATCGGTTAAATACTTCGAAAGTGCGGCTGTCGTTGTTAAAACAGATAAACATTCAGCAAAGTGCAGTGGAGCAGCAGCTGGTCCTGCAGTGTGTCCTGCAGTGTGTCTCTGTGCTTTTTCGGCAGTTAAATGAACTTATATGAGGATAAAGTAAAAGCGACTTCCTCAGGATGATATGACTTACATAATCTCAGTTTGTCATTTTATAGTTGTCGTTATTTCTTTATCTCTAAATGTTAGCTAAACTAAGCAAGCTAGCTACCATGCTATTGCTACAGTGACTTTTCGTCCACAGGAAGAAGGGGATACTCTCAGGGCATCCTGATGGCTTCAGTTTCTGCAGTTGAAAAAGGTTTGAAATGCACGTTTTTAGCTACAGCTACATTTCAGTTGGGCACTGGTTTACACAACCCTGCGGCTATGCAAAGCATCTGCAGCTAGCTAACAATTAGCCATATTTCCTTTCCAAGGAACATTAGTTGACTTTCACTCAAAATTATGTCCATTAAGTTCACATTACTCTTAAATCATAAGATTGATTTAATCAATGGGACACCTTTCTGTATTATTACTATGATAATAGAGTATAATCTAAATACCTTCATGAGAATAGGTTTATTTTGTGCAGATTTAAGCTATTTTTTTTCTATTCATTAAAACAACACCACTGTATAAAAGACAGATTTTAACAAGATACAATATTATTGAAACTATTTCTGTGCCTTTAGTGAAGTATTGTAAAAATATGATGCAAAGCACAACTAATAAAATGTTATTTAATAGCAACATGGCGTGAAGGTGACCGTTGTCTGGCTCCTGACCCGAAAGACGGCACCCTTCGAGAAACCACTATTCAGAGACTGACCTCTCATAATGGTGACACCATAGCATGGGTGGTCGTCAAAGACCCCAGTAAAGATGAAGAAGAGGAGGAAGCTGTACCTGTCTCGAAACTCATGAGACCAGGCTCAAATCACTTCACCAAGGAGAAACCTGTGTTTCCCAGCAGCAGCACAGACCCCAGGCTATGTGTCCCCTTAGAACTGAGTAATGTCGATGAAGACAGAGTCCCCTACACCATCAACAGATACTTGAGGGATTACCAAAGAGAAGGTATCAGGTTTATTTACAACAACTACATCCGCTCCAGAGGTTGCGTCTTGGGGGACGACATGGGCTTGGGAAAAACTGTACAGGTACAAAGCACATGAGCTGCAAAACTATTTTCAGAATTGTTTAAATGTCTGCCTTTTTTCTTCACTTGGCTGTCGTTCTCTCCACCTCTTTGATCGTATCTTAGGTCATTGGTTTTCTTGCTGCAGTGTTGCACAAAACAGGCACATGGGAGGATATCAAGAACAACAGGCCTCAGTTTCTGCAGAGTCAGATGCCCTCCAAGCAAAGTAAACCCAACAAAGTGGGTATTGAAATTTGCTACTCAAATAAGAAATCTGGTGAGGCTGCTTTCTGCTTATATGGCCCTCCCCTTGGATCTTGAGGAGCTGAAAGAAATGAAAGATCTGTTTATTTTGGCTTTTAATTTGGGTTAATTTTGCTAGTATCACTGTTTGTTTTTCTCGCATTGCTATTGCTGTTATTGGCTGATCTTGTTTTGTTTAGCACTTTGGGCTCCATCTTTGCATAAAAGGTGCTATACAAATAAAGTTGTTGTTGTTGTTGTTATTATTATTCAATTGTAAAGAAATGCTAAGAATTTCAAGTAAAGCATGTTTTGTTGTTTCCATGATCTGGCCTAGGTGTTCCTCATTGTGGCCCCACTGTCAGTGCTTTATAACTGGAAAGATGAACTGGACACATGGGGTCACTTCCAGTGTGTGGTGGTCCACGGGCTGAGGAAAGAGGACGAGCTGGCTCGCATCAAGAAGGGACGCATTGAGATTGCCCTCACTACCTACGAGACTCTGCGCCTTTGTCTGGATCAGTTTAATATGTAAGAACCATGCGCAGTACACACAAGCAACAGATACCATAAATAAACCTAAGCACTGTGACTAAAATATACCTTTGCCCTCCCTGCAGCATAGACTGGTCTGCAGTGGTTGTGGATGAGGCCCACAAGATTAAAAATCCAAATTCTCAGATCACCCAGGCCATGAAGGACCTGAAATGCAAGGTCAGAGAGCCTTATGTTCGTCTTATTATTTCAGCATGATATTACTAGTAAGCAACTAGTAATGACTAGAGTCTGCATGGATTTATTGTACTGATAGTGGCGATTTCTGATGGTGTTAGTCATTAAGATGAGTAAAGTCTGCACTCAAGTGGTCTTTGTTTCTGTTTTATTCAAAATCTATTCAATTGTGCCACCATCATAATACCACCTTCATAATAAGCTGCTACAAAATAGTTAAAAGCTTAAGTTTTCTATTTGGACTGTGCTTTTGATGCTAGCTTTGCAGCTCTATTTTATTATTATTTTTTTGTTGTTGTTCAGATCAGGATTGGCCTCACTGGCACCATCTTACAGAACAACCTTGAGGAGCTGTGGTGTGTCATGGACTGGTATAGACTTTTATTACTTTTATTATATTATAATACATTTATAATTTGCTTATTTACAAGCACATTTCGTTCCCTGTAGTGGAAGTGACGTGATTGCAATTTATATTAGCTTTCATATTTTTTTCTTGTATTTAGGGCCATACCTGGTTGTCTTGGCAGCTTAGGACATTTCAAGAACAAGTTTTCAGATCCAATTGAGCAAGGGCAGAGGCACAGTGCAACTAAACGTGCCCTAGCTACAGGGAGGAAGACTGTTAGAGCCCTGGTGAGGAAGATTTCCCAGTGGTTCCTCAGAAGGACGAAAGCTCTCATCAAGGAACAACTGCCTAAGAAGGACGACAGGGTAAGATTGGTTTAGTCAAATCAGACTTTTCACTGACAAATCACCATCTACATGACAACATTCCTTTATCAAAATATTCAAATGTAGGTTTGTGATGTCTAAAAGCACCTCTCAAAGAACTTCTGTGTTGTGTTTACTTCCAGGTGGTGTATTGCTCTCTGACAGACTTTCAGCAGACTGTGTATCAGGCAGTGCTGGACACTGACGATGTGACGTTGCTGTTGAGGTCTTCAGAGAAATGTGACTGTCAAAGTGGACGCACCCGCAGAAGCTGCTGCTATAGAGTTAGTTCACCCCTTTTACCAATGCGTGCTTTTGTATGCCGTGTATTGTAATTGTAAGGTTGAGATCTTTCCTAAAATCTGTGAAAAAGTGAAATCAATCTCATTACTGATTTTTTTTCTACTTCTTTTTTTACTTTAAGGAGTCAGATCACTTAAAACCAGACAAACATGTTGGGAAAATGTGCTTTGTGTGATTTAGGTGACCTGACCCCTTAGGTATCTGAGCGGTACTCTTGCATTCTACTTTTTAAATACTACAGTGTAATTCAGAAAAATTCAAAAATAATTAAAATTCCCACAAATCATCTAATTGATTTGCGGGAAGGAACCATTCATTATTGCAATTGAATTACATTCATGGGAAAAAAAAAAAATTAAAGCTTGAGCGCTCCGATAATATCAGTTTGTTTTATTGCAGACAAACTCAGAAGGTGTGAAAATGAAGGAGCTGTACTTTAGTTACTTGGCCATATTGAGGAAGGTTGCCAACCATGTAGCCCTGCTTCAGACCACTGCAGGCACCAGCAAGAAACAGGTAAAAACATGCTGCCCTATAACTGATGCAGTATACCAATTTCATACCACATCTTCTCGTTATGGATTTGGTTCACTGTTATGACTCATTTGTTTCTTGCAGGAAAAGTATGTGGGTGGCGTCTGTGCGAAGGTTTTCCAAAAGTTTCCCGACTTTGTGCAGAGATGCAAAGGTGAAGCATTTGAGGCCTTGTCGGACCCGATGTACAGTGGAAAGATGAAGGTACAGTTTGGGAACACACACTCAGTCACCTCCTCATTATGTGTGGGTAATGATTTGATTTATTAACGTACTTGTATTCCTTTCAGGTTTTGCAGAAGCTCCTGTCATATTATCTGCAAAAGAGAGATAAAGTGCTGCTTTTTTCTCTCTCAACCAAGGTGAGAGTGGAGTTTGTATGCGTTGAAAATCAGAGTCGTTGCGTGTCAGTGAGTTTGCATGTGTGATTGCAGAGAGATATATTTATTGTGTGAGAGGTGGATGAGCAGAAGGGCGAGACATTTTCGTGTAGGAAAATGATTTGATGCTCACAGTGATGTAATCGAAAAGGGATTTTAGATGGTGTCAGTGTTGGAGTACGCTGGTTGGTTCCAGCTACATCCATTCAGCGTTTCAACACAACAACAGGCTTGAACAAACACTCTGAATTGTCACTTTTTTTTTTATAGCAGATGACTTGTTAACAGAGAAAATAGGAGCAGGAGAATTGTTTTTCTAATGACACAGATTAATAGGTAAGCTACGGGGTTTTATAAGTGAGGGCGATTAGAGTTTTAAAGATAATTGGGCTCTGCAGAGTCTAAAGCTGATGATACACGGGGCAACTTTTTAAACAGTGTTGCTGGGCTATCTTGCTAGTGGCAAGACCGAAAACATATTTTGATAGCGACGGTGCGGGGCGGGTGGTGGAGTGGTGGGGGAAGGGGATTACGGTAGTAATCTTTACTCATTACCATTGACGGCAACGTTGCCCTGCACAATTGCTCTAAAAGTTGCTCTGTGTATCATCAGCTTAATGGCTGCTGTCACCTGAGGCTGGCTGCTATGAGGTAATATTTACATGGCCTATGTTTTGCTTTTATAGGGAATCATAAAGTCCATACAGTTTAGATTGTGCTCAGTATTACCCCTATAGTGTATCTGCAAATATACAAGCCAGGGGACATTCTTTTTTATTAAATCTGTTTGTCTAGCGTTTACATTTGAACTCTTGACAGAGAGAATTCACGCTACAGGTGTATAGATGTCAACCTCTACGCAGTTGTTCCACATGATATGAACCCCTAAACAGTTGTTTGTTGTGTTTTGAACCCGTCAGCTGTTGGATGTGCTGGAGAGCTACTGCATGGCAGAGGGGCTGGACTACAGCAGGTTGGACGGAACCACGAAAGCCAAAGAGAGAATTCAGATTGTCAAAGAGTTCAACAGCTCTTCTCACATCAACATCTGCCTGGTTTCTACCATGTTAGTCCTTTTAACTTCAAAATTACAACTGTAAAGCTAAACCAAAGGGGGGTATTTAATAGTGTATTCTACAGTTATCTCTATTTCAACATGTGTTTTCAATGCTTCTACAACTACTCAAAACCTTGAATGTGCTGACAACTGACCTTTTGAACTCTTTGTTATATCAGGGCGGGCGGTCTTGGTCTTAACTTTGTAGGGGCCAATGTGGTAGTGCTATTTGACCCCACATGGAACCCAGCCAGTGACCTCCAAGCCATTGACCGGTAGGTTGTGGGCCATATCTTGATAGACTTTACACAGTATTCTAATAAAAAATGTATTCTGTTGTTGCTACTCTTGTTTGGCTTCAGAAAGCACTGTGGGTGCCAGGATAGCTTACCTTGTCATTTTCTTTGCTGATATCAAAACATACACGTTTTTTACTATTAATATGCACGATGCCTGTGTGTTGATATATTTTTGTCACTCTTCAGGGCATACCGCATTGGCCAGTGCAGGGATGTGACTGTTCTTAGGCTGATCTCACTGGGGACTGTTGAGGAGGTTATCTACCTCAGACAAGTTTACAAACAGGTACCAGATAATATTAATCATCATATCATCATAATGTGCAAATGATGCACATGTTATTACACTGAGGTTATCTCATTTACTACCTGTGAGATGGCTGCTGCAGCTTAATTGTCTATTGGGTCAATAGAAGACCTCAAAAAGGTTTACTAACAGTGACTAAATCAAATAATAACAGAAAGATACTGAAGGCCACGTTTGTACTGGTATATATCTGGTTTATAAATTCCCCATTTAATGATTTCCACAGTAATTAAATTCAGAATCAGAAAATGTAAACAAAACAAACGTGGCGCCATCTTGAACTATCAATTATATTAATGACCACAGCCTGGAACCGACACATGCTCACAACTGAATTTACTTGATAGATTTATGAGTCATTTTTTCCATAATGCTTCAAAATGTGAGCTTTGTGCTCTGTGTCAGTATCTGTAAAAGTACTTTATGTACCTTCTTTCCCATCTTTCAGCAATTGCAGTGCTCAGTTGTGGGCAAGGAGAGTGCACGCCGGTACTTCGAGGCAGTGCAAGGGCACGGTATCTATAAGGGAGAGCTGTTTGGGATCAGAAACCTCTTCAGGCTGCAGATCGAAGGGACATGCCTCACCCGCAAGATACTAGAGGTTAGAAAGCTTACACTGAAATTTCAGCTTAAATGATGATGTGCTACTGTAGCATACTGCCTGATACCACGTCTCATCCCACTGATCTAGCCCAATAAGTACAATAAAAAATTTGTTTTGATGAATGTGTGTCTCACTTTTGCTCTTCTGTCAGCGAGAAGGACAAGTGGAGTCCGGTGTAATGACAACCAGCACTCACACAGGCGAAGAGAAGGAGGAGGCGGCGAAGGGAGTTAGCGTGAGTAATTCTGCCGTTCTCAGAGACCCAGAACATAGGGCACTCATCTTTCCCATCTCTCACTCTGTCTTGTTTCCCAGGCAGCCCACTCATTCTCACTTTCCCACGTGAAAGAAGGGATACCTCAAACAGGGACCTTTCCTGCGCCCCTGGTACTCTGCCCACACAATCTCAAAACATTCTTATTGTTATTTATCTTATAATCTTCTTATTCTCTTTGAGGATGATATTCCAAATTACATATGTATGTAAGCACTTTGTAACTCTGTTTTGATTCTGAAGTGCTGTATAAATAAAGATTATTATTATTATTATTATTATTATTATTATATGCCATGTTTGTGAGAAAAATGTGGCTGCAAATTTTGTAGTTTTTTCACAGAAGCTGTGGTTAGCTTGAGTTCAGGCAGTTAAAATTATAATAGATTCATATGTGTATGTCATATTTTCACTAGAAATCGTCCTCAAGCTGAAAAGCTCCCTTGAAGTATTTTATCTGCCTTAAGTGAGAAACATACTTAGATTAGCTTAGTGTTTTCAGAAGTTTCTGTGGAGTTGTTGATGTTTTTTACCAATTTGAATCCTTTGTAACTGACAAACTGTTTACAGCAACCTTTCAATCACACAGAACATAAGTATCTTAATACTGTATAAAAGTTGTAATGCAATCAATTCTGGGTGGAGTATTACTTTAAAGCCATGGTTTACAAAAAAACACTTATATGCTTCATTCTTTGTATTTTAGTGAAAGCGAAGGATGAGGTTCTCTTTGTCTGCCTCTCACGTTCTCTCTGATGCTGAGCGAAACAGCTGGATGTAATTACTTGCTTGTCCTAATGGAAGGAGCAGACCACACTGAAGTCTATCTTCTACTTTTCAGCTATTTATTTTCACAGTGATACCCCTTATCATCCTGTTCCCAACTAGGTTCTTTTTTTACAGGGCTTGCTGCTCCACTGAGGCCATTCAGATTCTTTCAAGAATGCAGAATACACTGGGGTGCCTTAGCACGCACAGAGGAGAGAGGCTTGAGGCGTGTAAGCGGCAACATGCACAGCAGAACTGGGGAAGAGTCATCTAGTTGGCAAATTTTGTGACATTAGAATCACTGTTGGTGGTCGCTCCCATAAAGGCCCATTCATATCAGCTCCAGGAAATGTTATGATCCCTTTGTTTTCTTCATATTACATCATGATGGAAGGCATATGTCACATTCATGTTTATTATGATTTATTGTTACAAACATCTGTTTTGTATTACACAATGAGATCTCACATAGGCTGGTCCAGTGAAAGATGGCATGGACAAGGCAAGTGAAGAATGTGTAGCCTGTTGTAGCTGGATCTTTCTCATGCAGTTTATTTACATTTTTCTTATCAATTTCTGTGCCAATCTGTTCCTACTTATCTTTAGCTGTTTTTTTTTCTTCTGTTTTTATTTATTTATGTATTTAAATTTTATTTTGGGGGCTTTTTTGTGCCTTTATTTAGAAAGGGCAGTTGAAAGACAGTACATGTGGGAGAGAGAGGAGGGACGACATGCTGCAAAGGGCCACTTGTTGGACTCAAACCCGGGGCCGTTTTGGCAAGGACTGAGCCTTTGTACATGAGGTGCGCGCTCTAGTGTTGAGCTAACTGGTGCCCCTTCTGTTTTATTTAAGGAACCTGGAGATGTTCTGCCTACAGATGGCCCTGTAGCAAATGATGAACCAGCCAAGGAGTATAGAGATCCATCAAAGGTCCCCAGAGGGGTGCTGGACTTCAGCAGTGGGAGTGAGGAGGATGAGGAGGAGCGGGGGCTTAAGAGGAAGGTGCTAAACCCCGGTGCAGAGGACGGCAACAGGGGTGGGAATTCTGCCACTGGTCCTGGTCGAATGAGTCTCCTCCAATACGGTTTCTCCAAACTCCTCGAAAGAGTCAAAGGAAAACCAGAGTTAGGAGAAGGGGACAGTAGCTCAGGTGTTGAAGAAGGCCCCTCGGAGGAATATGCTGAGGATCAAAAGAGGGACGGTACCTCCTCTGCCATCTGCAAGAGCTCCTTCACAGGAAATGGTGTAGTCTGTCCCCATAAATTGGGAATGAAAATCTGGGATGCCAGCAGTTCAGACAGAAAAGATGGGGAGAACAGAAGTGGGGGGAGAGGAGGAAATGTTTCTCTAGTTAAACAGAGTGATGAGGCTATAAGAGAGGGACAGTACCTGAAAGGGTGGACAAATAAGAAAATTACAGTGGATGAAGAGAGTGATGAAAATCCCTCACCAGACAAAAAGAATCCTAACAAGCTCAAAATGACAGTTCCGAAAGCGCACCACTTTGAGGATTATTCAGATGAATCCGAGGATTTGGACATAGAGGCATTGACGGGGCCCGAGAGGGTCGCTTTAAATTCACACGTTAGACGAGGAGACAGAGAGAGAGGAAAGCTAGATCGTGAGAGAAAGAAGCAAAGTGTTAGTGTCAGGGACAAAGCCAGATCCAAATACACAGAGAACATAGAGATATTCACATCTTCAGAAGATGAACACACTCCTGTTAAGAAAGGAAGATCTACAGGATGTCACTTAACGTCTCCACTGACAGAAAGATCCACAGTGGAGTTGCCATCCCCAGCATCCAAAGGAAAGGATGGAACTATCGACATTGTGCTAGGTGAGATTCAATACCTATTTTTATATGCTAATCTTCATTTTAATGATTATAACTCAATTTTAACATTAATTATGGATATTTCTATTTAAAGGGAACGTACAGGAAGTGGTGTATACACACTCAAACCAGCGCGTGGTGGGTGGGAGCAAAGCAGAGGAGCTGATCAGTAGAGCTGCTGTACGAGACGTGTTTGAACGCAAGATGTACTCTCAGCTCCCGGCCAATCACCTTCTCGGCACCCAGGAGGTACACGCCGCACACATGACATTAGTCTGGTTCAGTGGTTCTTCAAATGTATAATATTGTAGTTGTATCCGCCACAGCCCTTCACCCAACACTACACACATGGACTGATGACAGATCAGTTCACCCAAAAAAAGTGTAGTAGTTTTGTTGATTTGTCATGGTTTGGAGATGAATTGCATTTAGTTCTTGCCATCCCAAATTAGATTAGATAAATCAGATTATGTTTGAAAAACCTAACGGGAATGTATTTTTCCATAAACTGTGACATGTTTACTCAGTAAACAGACCTCGCTGTAAACAGTGTCATTTAGACCTGTTTTCTACCAAAGCGTGCCTGGCAATCGCCAGTACTGCATCAGACACACACGCTCACTATGAAATGAGAGTGGATGTAAAAGCTTATTGGGTTTTTTTGTAGCTAGAACAGCTCAGTGGTGCTTGATGAGTAGCAGCAGTGTAGGTTACCTGTATTCAAATCTGTGGTCCATAATGCTGCATGTGTACATCCACTATCATGTTAACATAAGCCTGCACATCCCAGCCGCGAGTACTGATTAGTGGAGAGAGGCAGGTGGTGAGCAAACCTGGCAAAATATCAAACAAAAAATTAGGTTTGTGGACTACCGTGGGATTCTTTGTCTTGATTTTTGGATTAGATATTTTGAAAGTGTAATTATTTGGTATGATACAAATCAAATGTAGAGGGGAAAAAAGTTAGTTTTGGGGTGATTTGGCTGATCAGGCCCCTTATATCTGTCAATATTAATCATTTTCCTCCTCTCACACTCCAAATAATGCTGTTATATTGATCATATTGATGAAAGCTATGTGCATTAACATAAGCTGTGTTTGTAAACAAACTGAGTGAGTCTGAGAAAAAAATAACTAGCTCATCTATGAGCTGGTCACTGCTTCTATAAAACTTTACCTGTTGTTTGATTGGACCAGAGCCTGTCATTGAGCCAACCAGACAGTGAGCCATGGCCTTCTGCTGTCACACGGGAGAAGCCCAGAGTGGACCATCCAGTCAACTTCACCAGCACAAGTGTGCACCACACCCGACATACCACCTTCATCATCGGAGAGACTCCCCAGGCTATACAAAGGTACTGAAAGGGTCTCAGAGGAGGTGAGGTGGAGAGAAAAGGAGAAAGCAGTTATACAGGCAGGGGAAGAATTAAGAAAAAGACTGTATTGTAGAAGATTAGAAGATGAGATGTTATAGATTTACTATGAGAGGGAGAAAGAGAGTAGGGAGGTCATGGGTAGACATAGTGAGGGAAAGATGACAAGGAGGGCCTGCAACAGAAGGGAAGAAGAAAAGGTTTTAATGGGAATAAAGCAGGCCAGTGGATGAATTGAGGAAAGGGGGTATAAAAAGTGTAGTCGGAAGACAGGAATTCCTGGAAGTGCAGGGATGTAAGCCAAAACTCACCACAGATATGGTGGTGAGCGCCCCCACCTGGGCCTCAGGAATTGTGGTTGTGTGTGTGCATGTGTTTTAGCGAGAGACCACCTCTGAGCTTTCCCTTCCACCTATTTCCCAGCATCATGCCAAAGATTACCAAGTTATGTTCAGGCCTTGCATTGAAGGAGTTTTCCCCTCCGCAACCACAGCCCTCCTGAGACCAATCAAAACTGATCGCCGGAGGGCTTCCAAACCATTACTGACATACACACACGTCCTAACAAGCATTTACACACACGCACGCACGCACGCACGCACGCACGCACGCACGCACGCACGCACGCACGCACACACACACACACGGTACTCAAATGCACACCTCTGTCCTGCTGCGTCGCCTCTGCCCCCTACCTTCCCGAACACTCTCATACAGAGACACACAGGCACCTTTTGTGGCTCCAATCTCACTCCCCAAGGGGGGAAAGCTGTATCTCTGCCCAGAGGCTCACCAGGGAGTGAAAATACACACTAGTTGTATTGATAGCCTTTCAATTAACCTTGCTGTTTAATGATTTAAACCTGCATACACGTTGTGTTTTACTGCCGTCACTTTTATTAGGTTTTATATTATATTGTTTTTCCATTTAAAGCCACAAATGGCAATAACACCACCATAATGCAGCTGTCCCACCAGTGACTTTGAAGTATTTCTGTCTCAGTCTGGTTAGACCAAGGTTTTAATGACTGCCCTCAGGAAAAACATCTCATACTGCATGACTCTCTGGATATGAGCCTGAGTATGTGGAGAAGTATTCATCTTAGGCTAAGCCTGGCAAACGGGCTGAATATCTGATTAATAGTATAGGCCTTGTGGCTTTTTAAAGATGTTGTTTTACATGTGATTTGATGTACCTTACAGTGTGCTCACATGTGCCAAATTGTAGCCGGGTATTACTGTAACTGTACATAGTTATAAAATCACTCTTTTGCATGGATGTTTTTTCACACTTTTCACATTTCTGTGTGTAGGCAGCAGCTGGAGGAAATGGCGGAAAAATTTAAATTTCCCACAGTCCATCAGTTTGCAGTGGAGATTCTGAGAAGGAACTCAACCCAGAGACTGGCCTGGCTACGACAGTATTACACTTCACTGAACCATCCTGACCTGGCTAATACGGTCACAAACAGCTTCCCACAGGCTGACTCAGTACAGATCTCTACCTCCTCTTCAACTGCTGCATCCTCAACATGCGCCACAAAATCTCACGCAGATACCAGAACCCCAGAAAAGGATGTTCTAAAAGCCAAGAAGAAGCGTAAATGCACTCGGAAGAATCCAGAACCCAAAACGAAGCCTGAAGTCCCACAAAATAATAATGTTTCTTTGCCACAGAAAAAGTCTAGAATCCCACAAAATCATGTTCCAGAACCTGAGACAAAGCCTACAAAACCACAAAATGATGTTCTAGAACCAGAGAAACCTCTCAGAGATGTTCCAAGCCTTGAGTCAGAGGAGCAGGAGGAGACAGTCTGGGGTGCCAGAGGACATAAGAGGACAAAGAGGGGTAGTGTTTCTAGTTCTGGAGCCTTCAGAGCTGGTGGTGGTCTTGGCTTGGATCAGGCCGGCAGCAGTGGTCTGGGGTCTGGGGAGGCTGCTGCTTTTCTGAGTCGCACAGACAGAGATACTCCTTCTTCTCGGGCCCTCAGCCATAGCAGGTCCACCATATTATCCAAACCCACAGCACAGGGATGGGAGCAAGAGCAAAACTTGTCTTGTAGGACCAGCGAAACTTCTCAAGGCCTCGGAGGAAAACCTCAGACCCCTTCCCCTCCTGAGCCGGCCACATCTACCTCCAATCACAGTTCCTTCCTCACAGACCTGATAGGAGACACCTCAATCCTCGACGATTTGTTAAAACCCAAATCCAGGGGTGGACAACAAAGGATCGCCCCAAAAACACCTCCTGCCCTCTCCTCTGTGTCAATAAGCACATATCTCACCACACCCTGTCCATCCGGAATCACCCTCAGTACTGATTCAGGTTCAGCAGGCCGCATAGACTTTCTGTCCTCTCCAAAGTCAAGCACAGCCCCTACACACGAGGCGGTATCCAAGGGCAGTCGCAAAGACTTCTGGGACCTCCTGAATGAGGGTAATGAGGAGAGTATCAACAGGTTAACGGACCCGGCAGAAGTGCAGAGGGTTTGCATCAACACTAACTTAGCAGCAAGAAGTAGGTCTGCAGAGGAGAAGAGTAAGAGTCTCTGGAAGACTAATGAAAAGTTCCTGTGGAAGAAATAACACGTGAGAGACAATTAGATAGTGTTCAAATATTATTTTACACTATTTTACACGTTTTACTTTTGCAGTTCTAAAAGGAGATAAAAAAATGGAAACCCTAATGAATATTTAAAGCAGGCTTTCCTACTTCAGATTTTCTTAACAGACTTTTATTTTATCATTTTAAAGTGTCAAATCATTTGTACCTTTTAACAATTATTTTTACTATTAACTGTGATTATTTGAAAATATTCAGTGTTCACTAATTTGTTTATTAAATTAGTGCGTTGCTAGCATAATGCTGACTGTTCACTCTGGGAATTTATATTTTATTATTATATATTAAATTTTACCTACCACACACAACCTCGGATGAGCGGTCTAATGTGCCATCACAGAGGCATTTACTCATAAAAGAGTGAAAAAATGTTGCCTAATTTGCTAAATGTGGTAATACAGGGCTGCAACTAACCAGTATTTTCATTAGCGATTAATTGTTGGTCTGTAAAAGGTCAGAGAATAGTCATGGCCCTGTCTGACCAACAGTTCAAAACCCAAAGACATTCCGTTTACAATAATACAAATGAAATAAATTTGTTAAAATATTAATTGCAACAAGTCAAATAAACTATATATAAATGTGAGATTGCCTTTTGTGTGCATGTGTAGTTAAAGGTCCGTGTCAATGCTCAAGCTGTTGCTGCACCTGATCTGATGTTAAGTAGTTGACGGAGAAAATCTGCTGTAGGCATTAGCCATTATCGTTATCGGATACCATGACTGAGACCCGGGGCATGTTGTTGGCCTGCAGAGATATCACTTAAAACTCCTTAATGGCTGTTAACATCTCTGTCACTCTTAACACCTCACTGCCTCCCACTCCACAGTGTGCATATTGTGTAGATGGTGTGGTTTCCCTGCACAGTGTTCTGCATGGTAATCTGATGTCTGAGGTGTTTCAAACTCTTTTATGGTGAAATAATTATTTGCACCATTCCAATTAAGATAGCTTGGCTTTGCATAGGTGTCTTCTAATTGTTATAGTACTCACAGGTAACTTTACGCCTTCTTTGATCTCCCTGGAGCTGATCATTGGGAGAGTTTTTGCCATTTTGGCTGTTCTTCGATCCGTTCGAATGGTTGTTTCCGTTTTCTTCCACGTCTTTCTGGTTTTGGTTGCCATTTTAAAGCATTTTAGCTGAGTAGCCTATCATTTTCTGCACATTTTTATATTTTCCCCCCTCTCCAATCAAGTTTTTTATCAAAGTACGCTGTTCTTCTGAACAATGTGTGGAACAACACATTTTTCTCCTAATATCAGAGTGAAATGCGCTTTAACCAGCATGTACAACATTTGCTGCCTTTGTCCTTTAAATAAAGGCCACCTGTTTTTTTCCACAGAATGAATGACCTCACTAATTAAACTCCACACTGCTATTATTTTGAATACGCTTTCAATTAATGATTCAATTACGCAGACTCGGCAATATGCATGCCATGACTGTTTGGTCTTTTGGTTTTATATTACTCTGCCTCAACTTTTAGTAACTTTTTTTGCCATGTAGGAATATAATTTCTACCAAAAACATTGATTGGTCTGGTGATAGTTATTGGACTGCTACTTGAATGGATCTTGAACACAACTGTACATACCCAGAGCTATGTGATTTACCAACCATGCTTTGAATAGAAAACAGCAGGCCTGGTGTGGAGAGATTATTCGGTCAGAATTTAAACTAAAAGTTTAAAATTAAAAGTCTCAATAAAAAACTGAAAGTCTAAATCAAAAATGCATTTAGTATTTAGAATTGGGCATTTGGGCATTTAGGTTTGGGCATTGGGATTTAGGATTGAGGAGTGTATGCAAATAAGGAGGCGTGACCCAAAGACTGGAGTCTGGGTTTGAAACGGCCGGTGCACAGAGGCACCTTATGGTCAGCAGGGGGAGCCCTGAGTACTAAAGAGCACACTGCAAGGAAATCAAACAGTGAGTGAGCAGGGCTGGAGGGATCCATCCATCCATCCATCGTCAACTGCTTATCCTGCGTACAGGGTTGCGGGGGGCTGGTGCCAATCCCAGTTTACATCGGGTGAAAGGCGGTGTACTCCCTGGACAGGTTGCCAGTTGGAGGGAGGACTATACTTTACAATGTGATAACTTCAAATTGATGATAGCGTTATAACATTTCTGTGGCCTCACACAAAGTCACCAATGATTGGTGGATTGGCGTCAGAATCAAAAAGCGAAAAACGGCCCGTTTGTTTTTGGCAATTCCTTTTGTTATTATTCCTTTTTAAGAATTAAGATCTTAGAAGCAATTCATATTTCAATTATTATTATTTAGTTTAAAATTTGTATAGCACAATTTAACAACAAGGTAATTCAAAGTGCTTTACATAAAACATAAAAGCAACAGGGAAATATGTAAAAGTTTAAAAGCAACAAAATATAATAAAAGTTACAGTTTTACAATCAGGGTTAAAAGAGTTAAATGGAAAATAATAAAAAGCTAAAAACAAAGAAAAAGAAAACGGGACAGTAAAAGTTACAGTGTTGTCAGTAAAAAGAAAAATCTTAAATATATAATTAAAACAATAACTTCAGTTTTATCCTTGTTTAATTGAGTAGGCTAACACTGCTACAAAAAGAAGCTAATAACTGATTTTGAAGCTGTAAGATGTCAAGATCTTCACCTGCCATCTTGCTACTCTTTTAATGGCTCCAACACTGTAAACAACTCTCTCAGCTTCTACAATGGACTGTTACCCCTTCTGTGTCAAAACAAAACTCTTCCAAAACAAATCTGTGTTTTTTCTATTTTTGCAATTTTATGACATGGAAAGGTAGTGTGCTCTGCATTGTTCGTACTTGTGTACGAAGTAAAGTAAAAGTGAAATTGAGTCACTCAGTTTTTCTCCCTGGGAGAAAAACATCCCAGGATTCCATTCTGAGCCTGTGCAGGGTTTGAGGACTGATGATATTAGCAAGGCTGGTCCCAGTCACCTACCATCACTCTCTGTTCAAATAAATGCTGGACTGGCAGGACTAAGCAGAACACCAATCCTTCCTCCAGCTCCAGAAAAGGGTCCTTTTGTCACTTTCAGATAAAATAATCTCTGACTTGGAGACTTTGTCACAAAGCTGAAAACACGGCTGTTTTTCAGAGCTCTTGAAAAGTTTACATTTTGGGGATAAGTATATGTCACAGGACAGTAATGCTATAAATGTATGATGAGCTTATAGAATATGACGCACTGCTGTAGATTACCCAACAGCATATAGTAGGTAAAATTAGCTCAACCTTAAACATCTACAGCTGTAAAATACAGAGTAAAATTAAACCAGAAACTTCACACATACTGCATCCTGAGTACTTTTTTCTGATAAAACTTAATTAATTATAGGATCAGAGTACTTCTTCTGCCACTGTCCCTTTTTTCGGCGTGTGTGTGCGTGCATGTGCTGAACCTCACAGCTGTGTCTGACCTCTTTCAGCTGTTGCACTGAAGTAAATAGAACACCGAAGAGAGCCGCTCTGTGTAAGTGTTTTGTTTTGTTTAGCAGAAATGAGAAAGTGGTGACAGCTATCAATAAACAAGAGAAACGACTACGTGCCCCAACAGAGCACGCAGCTTGGTGAATATTATGTGTGCGTGTGTGTGCATGCAGACCTTCTGGGTGGTAGATCATGACTATCTTCTCTCACACACACACACACACACACACACATGAACTGAAGCCACACATCTGTCACACCTGTTCAAATCATAGACAGAGGAGAATAAAAAGCCCTTTATCCCAACCCCAAAACCTTCCCGGTCTGCTTTTCTCTTTGTGTTTCGCCCACAACTGAGATTTGCAGATCCCTATCTGTCTTTTTGTAGTGATAGTCTGGTTCAACTGAGATAGCAGAAAGGCTTAGCATTACTGACAATAGAAAGGCTCACCAACTGACTGGCAGTGCTCGGAGGCTAATTGAGGCCAGCTAACATGGCTCAGTGGCAAACAAAGGTTTCTTATCCTTAATGCTAACAGCAGGGTTGAGCCAAGGAATCTAGACTGTGACACACCACCACCACAACTGATCAGTGACGATGTCTCAAGTCAGTCCGATGATTGTATTGTATTTTATTAAATGCCGTGTGGTGCAATTTCCCATAGGTGTCATGGGAAATACCACCAAAGAGGCAGTGTGTTTTTCCAGTTCTCTCATTACTGTCTTGCGTCTTTGTGTCAAGAGCAGGGTGAGTGTTTATATTTCCTGCCATTATAACCTGGGTGTCTGTGAGTCTGTTGTAAACTGGACAGTCAGACGGAGCAGCAAAGGGATGGCCGTGGCAGTGTAGGTTTATTTGCAGATGTCAGACTTTGACACCTAGTTTGATTTGATTAGTAAAAAGCTGTGAATGAGTACTGACCCACGCTGACCTGGGCCTCCAGCCATCTTTGGCTCCGGTTTCCATGCATTCACTCTGCAGTGTGTCAAGAAGGTCTGCAGACTGTCGCTGATTAAGAACTTGCTCTTGTACAAACATTAAAGCCCCAGAGTATATGGCATCACATCTGAAGTATTTCTCTACAACAGTAAATATTAATGACAACAAGTAAAACAAAAAAAGAGAAAAATCTTTAGTAATAATTTAGACTTTAAAAAGACAGTAAAATAAAAACATGTCCTTCATCCTGTGTCTCTGTGTTAATTGTTCAGTTTTCTCTTGGTATATGGCAAACATATGTTTAAGAATCATTTATGAGTATTTTATATCAATATCCTTCTCTTATTCTGTGAAAAATTAGAATTTTACGTAACTCTATAAATACATGTATCAGTTGTTATCTGCTAAGACAAGCTAACCACGGCCATCATACAAAACCTCACTTGACAGCTCTTGTGCTGGAGTAGCTAGCATAGTGAAATTTTGGGTCAGAGGTGTGTGTTTTTCAGGGTCTAAAGTCGGCAAAAAGTTTGTTTACATTGTCAAAAGAGTGTGTTTGAGATCTAATTTATTCATTTCCCTCTTGTCTGTCTCCTCCTGACAACCCAGCCTAACTCCTGACACCTAACAACATAGGTGAGAGAGGTGTAGGCTACAATTCCTCTACAGTTCCATATCTCGCCGTATTCGTCAAGCTACGCCGAACATTTGAGCTGTCTAATCACATCTGAAAGATTTGATTTAAATCCCTCTAGCCTTTAGGGCTCAAGAAATGTTTGTCAAGTGTGTAAATCTCCTCAGGGCAACTGTAACAATGTAAGGAACATTAAAAAATTAACTGACCGTCATGGGTGTTTATGAGGGAAGGGGATAAATAGTTTGTGTCTAAGACCTAAAAATGTTCGATGACTCAGCAAGTTAACAACTACATTAGGGGGGTACAGAGTCCTCCTGTTGCTACGGTAACAAGCTGAGGAGGTCTCTAAATGTGAAAAAGAATAACAACCCCCCACCCCATTAGGAAATTACACACCATTTGCCCCTCATTGTTACCCAGTTACCCAGGCAACTGTTAGCTGTAATTTGGGTTAATTCACTGGCTCCCAGGCCCTTCCGTTCCCCATTGTGCCCCATCATAAAAGAGATATAACACAGATGCACACACAGTTGCACAAACTATGTTTCTAATGCAGTAACGCACACAGTGAGAGAGACTAGCCCTCATTTCCTTTCCTTCTCCTCACCGCAGCTGGAAATTGACAATACATATGAATATTAATGAATTGCAATGAAGGAAAGGCTAAGGCTAAGGCTTAAATTTATTCACTCCCAACACATAGTTGTGGGAGTGTGTAAGTGATTGAATTCTAGACAGAGTTGCATAATTGTTGAAAATAGAGTGTCATATATCCAAATTTGCACAAAACCACATTGTCCTGTCTGGCTCTGCCATGTCTTGAAGGTGGAGACAGGGATGGAAGGAGGTCTCCTCTTTTGCTCCTTTCAGAACAAAAGGAATGGAAATTTGTGTATTTTCCAATGGGGTAAATATTGAGAGAGCAAAGATATAAACGTATGTAAGAAAGGCTTTTCTGAGCTGCCTGGGTCTCTGTTGCACTGCCAAAGTCCTGTGCGTCACTTGATCCATTGTTTAGTGTAGCGAGGTCTTGGTAAGCAAGCGGCTGCCTCCCTGCTCCAGCTGCAGCCTCTCTACTGTTTATGTTTGCAGGGCCCTTCGCCTTGAAGTGAGGCTATACAAGCAAAGCCTAGCCATATGTGAGCACTGGGCCGTCAAAGAAGTCACTGGCCTTTTCTTTTCCCTTTCTTGATCCATCTCCCCCCCCCCCCCCCCCCCCCCCCCCCCCCTTTTTTTTTAACTCTTTCTCTTCCCTATACATTCTCATTTATCCTCTGTACCTCGTCCCTCATCTTGTTTGCTTTCCCATGCTGACAGTGCAGCCCGTCCCTGACAGCCTGCTCTTTTGGAGAAGATGAAGGGTTGGAATTATCTTCTTGAGTTTCAAAGACCTCCATCCTAAATAGGATAGAAATGGTAGGTATCATTACCCCTGTGAGAAATAATTACCCCTTAATTTCCTCTGTGAAAATGAATTTTAGAGTTTGAGAGACAAAGTGGTAATTATGTCACAGAAATATTTCCGCTGGGATAAATATTCTAATATTTATACTGGTCGTTTTACTGGGGAGTTCAGTATTATCCAGTACAGGGGGAAAATGGCTAGATTGATTCAGCAATTACCATGTTGGATTGGATTTTTTCAGGCATTAGGTGAATGATTTGCAGTCTTAAAATAAAACTCCTGGGTTAACCTGGAAAATTATTTGTTAGGAGTGTTCAGTGTATTGGTGTGTGTGTGTGTGAGTGTCTGAAGGTTGTGGTCCTGACCCTGGCTCCTGGGTGGGCTGCAGTGGCTGTGTGCTTGTCTTGGATCATCTCTGGACCCTTCTGTTTACTGAAACAACAAGCATTCACTGTCCAGGGAGGAGAGAGGAGTCACACAGAGAGCATCCTCAAAGACAGCACCTCTCTCCTTTTCTTCCCCCGGCTCAAACACACACACACTCACACAATCGTGTTACATACACAGACTGTCCTCAGAGCTCTGACCACCCACACAAGCAATGGTCACCCATTGCAACGAAAACAATGTCTTTCCATTGACCTCTTTCTTAATGAATCGCTCATCTGCTAGAGGCGTTAGACATGTTGAAGCCAGTTTGACTTAATATTTGTGCTAAAATATGATCCCATAGATGGTAAACCCATTATGCAGGAGAGAAGCTCTCCCACACTGATGCTCTGTAAAGGAAGAGAACTGTCTTGGCTGCTCATAACCTGCTATTACGAAAGTAGTAATATTTACTTATAAACTCTGTGAACCTCATTTGATGTCAGAGAGGCTTTGAAATTGTAAATGAAAAGGTATCATAAATGAGTGTGCACCATTTAATTGCAGATCACCTCAGGTGAGGAAAGCCCCTGCTCTTGAGCAACCAGAGTAAACAATTTTTGATTTCAGCTGCAGGTGACACACACACTGTTCAGACAGTGGCTTTAAAGGAGGCACAACTATAGGAACATTATAGACAACACACCTCATGGAAAATCCCACTCAGGAGAGTAGTATCAGTACAACAAATTAAACTGATAGTTAAACTACATTAAAGAAAAACATTTGACAACAAAACATTTTAGCTGGTTTCTGACTTACATTTTGAATTTTGTACTACAATGACTACCTTTTCCTTTCTTTTTTAGAAAACCAATATTGCTTATTTTAAGCAACTTCAGTTACTTGGCGCAATGGATAAGACACATGCCTTTGGTGTGAGAGACTCGGGCTGAATCCCCCACTGTGACCCATCAACCATTGTGTCCCTGAGCAAGGCACTTAACCCCTGGTTGCTCCAGAGGCGTGTTACCTCTGACATGCATAGCAATTGTAAGTCGCTTTGGATAAAAGCGTCAGCTAAATGAATAAATGTCATGTAATGTGTTTCTCCTCAGAGTAATAGTGTGATGTAATTGGTAATAACTGATATCCCATCTGCTCTGATGGAATATTTTCAGGGTGTGAAACTTGATCATGTAGACTTTTCACTTACCAAAGTGCAGGGACTGTTTTTAATAAGATACAGACTCAGATCAATCTGAAATAACCCAAACCAACATTTTAAATGATGTGTGTGTGTGTGTGTGGGTTTGCTGTGCTTGCTGCACATCCATTACAGTAATCAGAAGGGACTGTGAAACCTTTACATTTTGTGCCATCTAGTGGCTATATTGAATGTTACATCATCAAATGCAGATTTCTCTTCACAGTGAACACATGACACCGTTAATGTGCTTGAAATTAATGAATATATCAAAGGAGTGTACAGCCCCCCAAGATAAAGGTGTGATGTAAGGTGATATAAATATATTCACTTATTTAGCAGGGACAATACAGATAGAAGATGTATACACAGTAATAAATAAGTAAATATGTAAGAAATGTGTAAAATTGACTTGGGTTGACAATCCTACATTTTATATACAGCATCTAAATGGACTGTGGAGTCCAAATTGCTGTAATTTCCCCCGAGGGATCATTCTTGATAATAAAGGTGATGACTCAAACATTAAGTTTCAGAAATTGTTTAGTCCAGGCCCACCTTTTGAAAAGAATAAGCAGAAAAGAGCCAGATGAGGCACATTTCTTTATTGTCAGTTTGCTTTTGCTTATTTGACTTTTTTTGCTAATTGCTTTTTCAAGTCATTTAACAACCACACTGATAAGATGTTGGTGTTTCCAGTGATAACTCATGCTGCCCCTCTAGTTATAATTTTGATTTTACTGCTGGTCGCAATATTAGAAACGGTTGCATCACTTACAGTTAGTGATCCTTATAAAGCCTGTGGTGTGACAAAAAAAATTACATCATTTCACCTCTTCACCCCTTGTGTGGATACATGAGTTCCTACTTACTCTTTTGTTGTTACCATGTTGGTGCTGATGTTGGGTATGATAATGGCACACCGGACGAGTATGTGTAATGTAACACACACTCTGTAATATTACATGTTTAAGTATTAAAGGTTTGATGACACTTCACGTCTTTCCCAACATGTGTTTGTTTCAGGCACTCACTTGCTGTAAATCTACAAACACTACTCAGAGGAAATTGGTTATGTAAATATTAAGAAAGTGGAGATCCTAAAAACACCAAATACGGCATGGTTAGGCTGAATTTGTGGGAAATGTGCATGAAAAGATGCAAAAAACCTGAATTTATGATTTAATGAAACGGTGCAGCAATGATACAAAAACAGTGTGACTGGAACTAGGCTATGTTTCCATCCTTAAATCACTTAAAGATGGAATCAAATGAAACTGGATGTTACGAGATTAATCAACTGCAGGTTAACATTCATCCAGGTAAAAAATATATGCAAAAGTACATTCAGAGATTTATTATTCACATACATATCAGTACCGGGAGGGCTAAAGTGAAACTAACACATCCGAGAAAGCATCCCAAAGACTAAAATGCCAGGTCAAATATAATAGTTGTTGATAATTCCATAATATAAAAACCATAACTTAAAAGGCCTATTTTAATTACTGTGGGCCATAGAAGCTGGCAAAATCAAAAACATTTTAAAGCTTACCTTTAATAAAACTATAGATATGCTTTTACTGTATATGATTTTGTTTTGTTTTAATTGTTGTAAAAATGCTGTTCCTGTCTCAATAGCTATGAATAAAGACTATTCTCATGTGTACATGAATTATTCTTTGCCTTTTTTAAACAGTGAGGCCAGGCATGGATGATCTAAGCTCAGGGTCACTCTGAACCTGCTTCTCTCTCTCTCTCTCTCTCTCTCTCTCTCTCTCTCACTTTTCCTATTCCCTGCACTGTCTCTCATGGGGAGGATTGTTCATCAAGGCTGCCTAAACAGCCACGTCACCCCGTGATAAGTGACTCGTTTAGGTCAGACATCTCGGTAGCACATACTAATTCAAATGCTTGTGTGAATCTGCTCTTTGCATGTGTGCGTGCACAGATGAGGGAATGGCCATGCATGCTTTAAACACTGTACATCATCCTGTAAACAGCAGGCTATCAAACCCTGGTCTCCAGTGTACTCTCATTTCTCAGGAATCAGGTAGGAAGCTCATCAATTCTCTTCGGTCCCCAACTGGTTTTGTGGATTTCAGAAATGTGACTGACACCATAGCGAAGCTGTCTGGTGGTGTACTCAACTGATCAAACGTTTCCTCCATCTCAGAGAGAAAAGGAAGATGCTAATGACAGTTACAGGAGTGTGTGTGTGTGTGTTTGTGTGTGGGGTGCATCAGAATTAATGTTAATATTAAAGGAAATGTAGTTTGAAAACACGAGCTAGTAAATTGCATTTACACATCTGTCTAACGATGTTTACTGTGTAAAGGTATTTGAGGATTTGTTGATTTAATTTTTTGTTTTCTATCTGATGTTTAATCTGAATCAAAATATATCAAAATAGACGTCCATAAATGTCACTTCTCACTATAAAATCAAGCAGATGTATCGACAAAAATTACAAGTAAATAAGTTCAAATAAATCATCATTACCAAAGTCATTGCTAAAGGTTTGTTTTACAGGACTACAATATATTGTGAGATGTTTCTGATTTTTTAGTCCTCCCTATTTACATACATGAGCAAGGTCAGGGAACTAGAAACACATTTCAATATAATACAGACCAGTACAACACCACAACAACAGTACAACTATAACCTTAATGCTAAAAAATAATTGAATTAACACCTCTATGACAATGACAATAAATGAAAGAATTTTTTCAATAGAACAGACTCAGTAAATGTGGAATGAAGCGGAGATGTAAAGAGGGATAAACAAGGAGCTAGGGAAGTGGAACATTTTTTAAAAACGACAGAAAACCGCCGTATAAACTGGGCTAAACATTAAAAACAGAAAGCAATAATGCCATTGATAAAGGTACTTTCCTGAGGGTGGCTTATATATACAAATAATGATAATTTATTTCCTTTACATTGCTGTTCCTGGTAATTTACAGAACATTTTCAAAAGTCGCTCTTGATGCAGAGATGGATGCCTTCTGTGTTAATTTCTTCTTGACATAGTCTTGTAGCTTATGTAGCATAGACTCTGCATGGAGAATCTTGAGAGGAATAGACTGCAGTAACCAGCCCTGTATGTGCACATTCCCACAGACACACACACGCGCACATGCACACACACACACACGCACACACATACACACACACAGATCAATAATCACAGGGACAAATCAGTCTCTTGCCATGTTACTTACTTACTTACTTACTTACTACTGCATTATTTGGCATGATCAGATGGTTGTGCCAGTAAGTCTTACCAGAACTATATGACAGATACTGCCATGTGTTTTGTCTCCAGCTCTGAGGTACTGCAGGGCGCTTTTCACAAAGTCTTCTGGTGAAAAAGTGACTCCGCCGGTTTGTTGGTAAGCTGCCATTCGAGTGGAGACCCCAAATGGAGCCACTGCCTGAGAAATTAGAAGAACAGAGAGAAAGAGTGAGTTGAAGATTTTCAAGATTTTAAGAAAAAAAATCACTTTAAAGTAAACAAATAATTCGCTCTTCCTTTTATTTAAAGACCTTGAGGTGGAGTCTCAGTAAGAATTTTAAAAAATACCTGTATAATAATCCCTTTGTATTCAGCTTGAAGACCTTGAGAAAATCTTTCCACAAACACCTATAGGAACACAAATTACAGCAATAGAGTGATCATAAAATGAGATTTAGCACGAACTGGTGATATTGTACTTACCTTAGATGCAGTATACAGGGTGTACAGGGGGAACGGAATAGAAGCTACTCCAGACGAAATATTCACAATCACCCCTTTGCCCCTGTCGAGGCAGAAAAAAAACAATAGTTGTTTTACACTTGTTGATCAGCATGTTTGGATTTTTATCATATTCCATATTACATCTAATGGAGAAAACATAGGTAGGAAACCTTTTCTCCATGCCTGGAAGGATTATTTTGCACATCTGGAGAAAAAAGAAAAGTTCAGATTTTTTTTAAACATGTGAGGGTTGACAGAGTTAACTTATTTGTGAAGAAAACAAAGAATAATGCACACTATCCATCACTTGTACTCCCTTTATTAATTACCTCTTTATCAGGCAATGTTCATACAAAAAAGTTTTTTTTAACTTCTGTGTGTATTAAATTGTGTGGGACTCATTGTTTTGTTAAAGGGGTCATGTGTATTTTCAGTTGTCTCTAGCAAGGTTTCAGATTGCAACCACAAGCGTGTGCTCTTGCAAGTGCTCGAACCAATGAGCGAAAGAAAACAGAGGCCGACACATCAGAGATAGCGTCATCCATAATACTGGAAACTCAGGTAAAATCCCACTGCAAGTTTCCAGCAATATTTTTATCAGCTTGACATTGAACTGATCCATGGTTGTTTTAATGATAATGGTAAATTGACTGCATTTAGCCGACCTCTTTTCAATAACTATTGAGTGTGTATCATTCATCGAAGAGGCTCAGCAATGTCAGCATAGCTAAATTTATTGGATGATAACGAAAACAGTTAGCGAGCTTGGCTCAATATTATAAATGAGATTGTTGCCATAACAGTAGGCTACTGTACTGAATGGGTGTTCCACTTTGTGTTATTCACTCCCTCTCGGACTTTGCGGGCCTTTTTTGTGATTGTTGCGGTCTAAAATAACTGATTTTGCGGCAGCTTTTAAAAAAAAAATTGCGATGAAAGTTGTGATGTTTTGTGCCGTTTTTTGTGATGTTTTTTGTGATGAAATTGTGGAAATAAGTGAAAGCTGCAAAGGTAGCTTTGATTTTGTTTTTACTCTAAGATTATACACTGAACAAAATTATAAATGCAACACTTTACTTTTGCCCCCATTCATGAGCTGAACTCAAAGATCTGAGACTTTCTCTATGCACACAAAAGGCCCATTTCTCTCAAATATTGTTCACAAATCTGTAAAAATCTGTGTTAGTGAGCACTTCTCCTTTGCCGAGATAATCCATCCACCTCACAGGTGTGGCATATCAAGATGCTGATCAGACAGCATGGGTCTTGCACAGGTGTGCCTTAGGCTGGCCACAATAAAAGGCCCATTACTATGCTTTTTGTTTTGTTTTTTTACATTTATGCACATTTAAACCAGCTTAGCTTTATTGTTTCAGCGCTTGAAATTAACGGGGATGCAACTGCCTGTGTCACAGTGATTTGTCTCGTCTGACATCCTCCATGCCTTTCTGCCTGTTTTCCACATTTGCTTTGTAATGTTAAATCATTTCTTGCAGGCTAAAATAAACACTTAAATACATAAACACATAATACAAGCTTATGTTCCTTCATGGCCACTGCACTCCCCCAACGAATGCCGTCTGGCTCTGCCAGCCCTACACACAAAGCGATCTCAGTCCCGGCTGTTCTCATCTGTGACACCACGATGGTGGAACAAGCTACCACAGGCCATCAAAGCAGGGACGTCCCTCTCTAACTTCAAGAAGCTCTTGAAAACTCATCTTTTCCGAGAACACTTCCTCTTATAACTCCTCTAACTCCTAACCTCTAACATGCACTTCCTATTCTTCTACAATTCTCTTGTATTGATTGCACTATTTGTTAACTCCTACTTCTTTCCCAAGGTATTTACCCCCACTGATGCCATATGCGCTAATAGCACTTACTAGTATTTATTGCTGCTCTTACTGGTATCTATTGTCAATTATACATCTCTTACTGTATAGATGCTTTATTGATACTGTCATGATCATTGGGTTTTATTGTGGTGTTTTTCTTTTATTTTGTTAATGTCTGTTTCTATTTTTACTCATTGCCTCTGTGTTCTTGTTTAGGTTTTGTTAGTTGATCATTGTTTCCTTGTTCTCTGTTGTATTTAGTTACCTTTACCCTATTGTCGGTAGCTTTACTTCCTGTTTTATTTTGTAATTTTGGTGTTTTTGTTTAGCTTTGTTTCCTGTCTGCCTTGATTCCTAATGTGTCTCACCTGTGATTAATTGCCCTCCCTGCTTGTGTGTGTGTGGTGTGCCTTTGTATATATTGCGCTCAGTTGTGTTCAGTCTTTATGGTGTTGTTGTGAGATGTTGAGTGATCTTCCCTGTGTTCTGTTTCCTGGGATTGTTCCCTTGTTTTGGATTACTCTGCCCTGTCCAGGATTTCTGTTACTTTTGGATTCTTCTTAGGTTTGGAGTTTTGCCTGCTGTGGTCTGAGTGAGCCTGTCTTTGAGTTCTGTACTGAACTGTATCCTCCTCGCAAGTGTCTGCATTTTAGGTCCACACCTCTACCTCCTGCCACTTCACTCAGCCAACTCTGATAGATGCTTCATTGATGCTTGTATGTTGTTCCTCAAATGTAAGTCGATCTGGATAAAAGTATCTGCCAAATGAGTGAATGTAAATGTATAAAAGGCTGTTCCAAGCATGTGGTTGATTTTATGGGAGGTTACAACCTGTTCACAAATAAGCAATAAAAGTGATTTCTTAAAAAAACTATAAGGGTTTTGATCCTGTGCACCTTTCACTAAGACTTTATGATGTGCAAGAATAGCTGAATATAGTAGTTATTGAGTTTTTTTCAAAAAAATAAAAACTTTTACCTTAGCCATAGTTTTTACGTTGCAGTTTATCACCTTTGCAATTGTCTGAAAGCATAAATAAACATAGGTTCCAAGTAAGCCGTCTGTATTGATTGAATTAGGGGAAAGGAAATGTTAACACAGTCCTGCCAATGGTTTCACACCATTCCACTGATCTACAGGTGGTGGTAGCGTACACACAGATATGCAGCAATGCACCAGCAGAAACAAGGCAGAAGTAGTTTTCTAGCAATAAATAGATGTAAACAATGCTAGATTTAAAATATTAAAACATTGTCTTTGTTGATGTTTTATGAGGAATTAAATGAATTTGAAACATTTGTCAGCGATGAAGGATATTACACAATGTATTTTGGTGAGTAACAGTGAACGTAAGCATAACTTCTGTTTGTTAACAAAAAAACTCCACAGGGCACCTAGACCCGCAGTACCACTGACCTGGTCCAGCTCTGCACAATCAAGAAATTTGCAGGGGATGAAGCTGGGCAACAGGCCTACATTATTGACTGGGGTAGAAAGAAAGATCCAGTTACAAAGGGGGGGGATCAATAGACATTGCTGTTTTCTATAATTACCCTTGTCTTGCATTTGGTGTGTGAATAAATGTTTCAAACGGAATGGAAGAATGAAAAAAGTCCAACCTAAAACCCCAATGTTGAGGTCCCTAAGCTCATCCTCAATTTCACTGAAGATGTTTTCCTTTATGAAGTCTGTTACTATCACTTTCACCCTCTGCCCTGTGGTATCACCTATGAAAATGAAGATGTGGTGTCAGCAATATAGTGCACATTTGTACTCTTACAGATGACAGAGATTATATTTGCAGATTAAAAGCAGACACAATAAAATGGGTAAATACAGAAAGCAAGTTTCACCTATTTCCTTGGCCACCTGGTCCAACGTTACTTTGGTCCTACTCATGATTACCACGTTCATTCCTTGCTCAGCTAGCTGAGGGAAGCGATAGTACAGTGGTGGATGGTAGAAGAAATGAAGAATGTACTGTAAAATTAGCAGATGTCCATCAAATAAAAAGTAAAACAGTCTCTTACCACAAATGCATATGCTCGTCCTATGCCTTCTGAAGCACCAGTCACCACTAAAACAGGGATGCAGAGATTAGTGTTGTAATGATCATTACATCTTCCATCAGTTGTCACATGCTCCTGTAGTTTCCATTCTAAACACTAGGGGCGCTTTGAATTCCAGCTACGCTACGTCATCTCTCTTACTCTACTGTCAGACAAATCCCAGGATTGTGTTTGTGTTTGTATTTGTTGACACTACACCCAAACCATAATGTTCTAACAAACCGTACTAATACAGCATGTTCCTGATAAAGAATTTGCTGAGGACACAAACTGCTTGTTTCTGAGTTCTCACTACGCCTCCATCTCCTCCTGACCCTTATTACATAGATCACAAGCTCTTTTCCTCACTATTTGGGCACCACATTTAACTAGGGTTGGTTTTCCAGGACTGAGATTTAGGATTAAATAAAGCCAAGCGGGATGGGATGCATTGGTTTGAGCTGATGTTCAGCATGAGAATAAGCCAAATATGTAATCGGAGACTGTGTAGTAACTTCTCAAATGCAAGCAGCAATTAAGCTTCTTTTGATTTGATTTTTTTCAGTTGAATAAACAAACTGAATGCTCCTTCCAAATGTGCGCACACTCTTTTGTTTCTTACAAAATGATAACAGTGTTCCATCTGAAAATCGATTTAATTCTGTATTCTGCACTTACAACAGCAAATATACAGGATGTTTATTGCATTTGTGATGTGTGTTGGAATGTGTAAGAATTAAGACTCCTATCTGTCAACTAACTGTCAAATTTATACTCCAAAAAAATAGGGGGCAGCATTTTACATCAGATCATAACTGCTGCTAACTGATAATTAGCTCAGTTAGCGATGCAGCTAGTTTAATGGTAATATTAGCTGACTGGGACCAGAACAGGGTGAATCAGCAATGGAACTGGGCTCATTGGCTTCCCAGTTAACTGGGACTGAACACAGCCTCTGAGACCGATGGAGACCAGTTTGAGCAAGGTCCGGGGCTAGCTGGTTAGCATGCTACATGACATTACATTACATTTAGCCGACGCTTTTATCCAAAGTGACTTACAATTGCTACAAATATGTCAGAGGTTGCACACCTCTGGAGCAACTAGAGGTTAAGTGTCTTGCTCAGGGACACACTGGTGGGTGTCACAGTGGGGAGTTGAACCCCAGTCTCTCACACCACAGGCATGTGTCTTATCCACCCCAAACTTCAGTAGAGCAGATGTACAGTTTGTGGACAACATTAGCACATTTTGGAATAGACTGGACAAAAGGGGTTGGTCTACCCAAATTAAAAAATATTGCTTCTCTCTAGTGGTATGAAGCCACGCAGATGGTTTTATTTGCACAGGTGCTTTGATATTTGTCCCTGTGAATTATGTAGCCACCTCTATAAAATGGAGGGAATTGAAGTCAATTTGGGTATCATGCCGATAACAATAAAAAAATAAAATTAAAATAATTCAACAGGAACCTGTTTTTCCCGACTCAATGTGTTCAGGACTAGGGCGCTTTGTATAGTCTCGATCAAAACTGTTGAAAGTTTGCTTTTATTATCCAGAGTAGCCAAATGGAAATCCTGATTTTGCAAAAAGATGTAGATTTTTAATCCAGGAACAAAACAATATTCCAGTCATTGTGTTGAGACAGTAACAGAAATCTCAGAGATGGATATTTCAAAAGCTGTCTGCATGGCTAGATACCGATCCAGGCAAGGGATGTGGACCAGTTGCTTAATATCTCTTTGACATCAGATGGGTATCTATTTAGCCTCTATTGAATAACAACATTCCCTTATAATTAAAATGTCCTGTAATTACAACCAACATTATTGACCAGTTGGTTGCCATTCAGCACTGGAGTACTGGGAATATTTAAGAACAGTACTGATTACAACAATGTTATCACTCTATTGTATACTCCTCTATTTCTAGACCCAAGTGCTGACTATGACATCTGGTTTTACTAATTCATTCAGACTTTGCCAAAAATATAATCAATATATATTCAGCATTCAACTTTTTTTTGCAGGTAATTTCCCATCTCCTGTAGACATAGTTTCACAGGAAGTATTACATGAAAAAGGAAATACATTGTCAAATAGATATATAAATTCTGTTCTATAATTTTGGGATGGTTCAGTGTCAAAGTGGGTGAATTAAACAAACAAACAAGTAGACAACATCTGCATTCAGGCCGAGTCTCAGACATAACTGGCATTTTTCCTTTATGCAAATGAGTTCTGAGAACCACAATAGCCTGTGCAGGCATTTCTTCCAAGACTAAGACATACAAGGATTCAGATTCAGACTGGAATGTCCAATCAAAGAGTCCATATTAGCCCAAAGTCTTTAACAAACACTCCTTAATTTTTTCTAATATAAAAAACATGTGTTTCATTTCATTTTGATTGCTCTATTTTGTTTATGTCACAAAAGTTGTTTTTTTTTAGTGTTGTAATTACCAGAGAAGTAATAAAGTGCTGAAATTCTACTTTAATTGCAGTCAGGGGAGCCAAAAAGTGTTTCTTGGCGCGATGGCCTAAGAAGTCCCTATTGGAAACAGTTTCTTAATGTCCAGAAGTCTACAATGTGGCCGCACAGTGTTTTCATTGTTCCTACAGTTACAGTTGTTGTCTGCTGATTCATGGGGAGATAAGTGAACAGTTAATTTACCTTCACAAGACGCGAGGAAAGACATAGAAATTTAATTACAGGATGTCACATGACTGTCAACAAGGTTTATTCTGAAATCTTTACAGCTCTTCTCTGTGTTTAAATTGTGTTTGTTCTTGTATGCTTCGCAGCCAGCAATAAGTTATTAGTTAACTAATGCTGGCTGAAGCAAACTTGCCATCTAAATCTATAACTTGGCTAAACAATTACTTTTATTACCACAGAGTTGTTACTGTTTTCACAACATGTTTTACAGAATTATGTAGAGTAGTATCAATAGGTACTGGAACTGATAAGCAGTATAAGCATATGTATATATTTCCATAAAGTCACAATGACATTACAGACATTTTTACCATTAATATTTCTTGTAAGTGTGAAGAGCCTCCCTGGTCACGGCAAATTTCCCAGTTGTGTTGTATGAATCATATATTAATTAAAAAAGACACACACACACACACACACACACACACACACACACACACACACACACACACACACACACACACACACATACAAACATTGTACACATGCAGACACACTGTAAATATTTGTTTCATATATATGTTGTCCTCAGTTGAAGAATGCACCATACAATACTTCTTAGGCCGCTTGAAAGTGAAAAGACTCAACTCTGAAGGAGGCACAAACTCAAGCAAAATAGGTTTGAAATTGTCAGGGCTGAAATGACTCTTGGGGGACAGGGGTTATGCAGCCAAGAACACACTGTTCTGGTGACTGTTTTTCCTGGCTGATGCTGGAATGCGGAATAATTCGGACTTTGAAAAGAAAGGATAGATTAGCCCAGTATTCATTGTGTTTCTACTTTAGTGTGAGGTTTATTTTAGCAAAGTGGGAGACTGAATAGCCTCTTCAGAATGTGGCAAAGGATTTCTCAGTCAGTGGACTGTTCTGGGAGCGACAGAGGAATGTTTTGGTGTAAACACGTTTATATGGTTACAAGTTGGATTGCCTGCACCAGCTGGAGAATGTAGTGCCTTCTTTATCATACTTAATCCCTTCTGCCAGTTTACTCTAAAGGAATTTTATGGCCATGCCATGGGATTTTATTGCAGAGTGTACTCTGAGTGGATGGATAATAATAATGTTATATTAAAGAAAAATGTAATTTGGGCAGCAATGCGTTTTGTAGATCGTTTTCTGTAAACGTAAGCAGCTGCTGCATAGGTAACACATGACAGAAAGTCAAAGGAAAGTCAGAACTTGCCCCTTTAGGTTCCAACATTACACAAGTGTGATCTTGTGCAACAGTGAAACGTCCAAACAGGTCTAAAATCTTCTTTACGGTTTTACAGCCAAATTTTTGTCATGCAACAGTGATTTCACATCATTCAGTGTTTTTGCATGCACAGGCAAATTCTGATAGGTGTGCTTTCACTCATGTCACTATACTCTTATGACCATAATAAATCAATCAATTGTAAATCATTAATTGTGACTTTGGCTGACATCTAAATTGTCCTGATGCTGTTTGTCCCATCCATCTAAGTCCTTGCAATTACTAGCTACAATATGACCTACTGCAGGTCTGATATACTGTACATTACAGTACACGCACACACAAACACAGCTCACCTGCCCACTCTCCCATAGAGGTGAAAAAGGACTTTGACACTGGAAACCACATTTTTGGAAAAAGCATCCTACTGAAAAGCAGCAGTTTCACTCCATAGTAGACAACAACTGCAGCACCAAGAGAAATGAAAAACAATTCTCTTAAATCCATGCTTGTCCGGCACAACAGCAAACTCTGGCTTTAAGTCTCTCTGTGTTTGTGACTGCTCTTGGAGAACGCTTTCAGTTCAATGATTCTCTAAAAGTAAAGAGGGAAGAAAGAGGGAAACTGCCAGAGGACACTCCCATTTCAAGAGCATGCTCACATACACACACACAGAGACTCTCACTCTACCCCACAGTACTTGTACTTGGATTCTGTCCAAATACACTAACTATTTGCTCTTAGTTTTCTGCATTTTCTCACCTAAGGGGCATGCTGTATGTGTGCCAATTGCCCAAAACACATTGAAGCTCCTATGTGCTGGGTGTGAGAGTATTATTATTTTCCACAAGATTATTTATTCACTACACTTTACTTGCTATTTCCACTCTCTTTCTTTCTATTTCAGTTTACCTGGTCAACACTCTTTCCCCTGACACTACAGAGCAAGGGCGTAGAATTTAGCAAGGACAAGACTGCAATAATTTTGATCCAAAAATTAAAATACAACCACTGTTATCCATCAGTGTCTAGTCAATGTATTTGATACACAAACGGTTAACAGCTCTTGTTCTCTACTATGAGTCAGTTTTGAAAGTCCTCCCCCACCATTTGCCTCACAATGGTTGTTTGTTCCTCGATCAATGCTGAGATCAAACCTAAGCCATTCCTGCAGAGGAATGTGTAAGAAGATGTATTATATGGAATAGCTTGTGTGTTAAACTCAGGAAAGGAATGTCTCTGGAAGAGATTTAAAGTAAACGTGTCTGGTAATGAAAACTGAGCATCTAGCAACCCATCTTGCAGAACTTGTATAGCTCTGGAACCAGAGCTCAAAGGAGAGTAAATATTGTACTAGCTGGCCAGAAACATGGCATCATTTACGTGTTCATGTTGCTGCCTGTCTTGTAACAAAAATGTCAAACATGTATTGGTCCCAGCTTCTTAATTGTGAGGACTTTCTTTCTTGTAATGTCTGAATATCTTTTTGTTTTGGACGTGTTTGGACAAAATAATTTAGGACATCATCTTGGGCTGGTATTTTACTGACCAGACGATTAATTGATTTACCAAGACATCATTGGCAATAATGAATATAATCAACCCTAATTTTATCCATAACCGACACAGAATATAGCTTTAAGGAATAAAATATCTTAGTACATAACAAGCATGACGTTTCTTATAAAACATTCCATGTTGAGTCTTTTTACTTTCTCTGAATTGCAGATAAAATAATATAAATAATTTTTTTTAAATCTGACAATTGTGGTATTACAAATAAGCTACAGGTGTCACACATTTAGTGTTGGCGCTAGAACAAATATTCAAGGGGCTTAAAGCAGGGGGCAGTAAATTACTGGCAAATGGCAACGTAGTCGTGCATAGTGAAGGTGAAACCATTCGGTACGTTTCACATCGACCAAAATCTTTTACTCAAAACACACAACACATATCAAGCTCAGAGCAAATTAACTACACGGGAAAAACCCCCAATTTAAATTACAACTGCAAAGCAGCATTGTTCAGGATCTGGTGCCATGATGCATGTCTGGGCATGTTGCGCCACGGTGCAGTCAGCGAAGGTCGTCGCTCAAGGTCACCCAGACCACATTGGACATGGGCCAGATAAAAAAAACCCTCTATACTTAGACCTGTCAAATCTGAACAGTTTCATTTGTGAAAATGCAACAAAGTGACCTGCTTTTTAAACACCTAGACCACATTGAACAACCAAGTTCAGATCAAAAACCACTGTACCTACACTTGTCAAATTCAGTTAAATTCAATAGTTCATTTTTATTTATATAGTGCCAATTCATACCAGATGTTAAATCATTGCACTTTTCATACAGAGTAGGTCTCGATAGTATTCTTTGTAATATTATTTACAGAGACCCAAAAATTCCCAAGATGATAAAGCACTTGGCAACAGTGGCAAAGTAAAGGCCATCTGCTCGACTGGTTGGTGATAGTGATGTGTTGGTCGCAAACGAAATGGCTCCATGAGACGCCTCTTTAAAGTGAAAGATAGGAACTGGCAGAGAGTCGATTTCAACCCCTCAAGCAGGAACACAGGCAGTAGGTGGCTTGCAAACACAGATCCAGATTCTACAGCTCCGAAGCCAGAAACAGCTGCAGAAAGAAGGAGAAAGGAGAGGGATGAGAAAGCACAAAACTATGAGAGAGGAAAGATGTAAAGTTAGTAACATGCATTTATGGGATAATAATGCATCCAGATGGAGAGGGAGAGGATGACAGAGGAGCTCAGTGCATCATGGGAGGTCTCCCGGCAGTCTAGGCCTATAGCAGGGATACATATATAACTATGGGATGTTTCAGGGCTATCCTGAGCCTATAGGCTTTATCAAAGAGGAAAGTCTTAAGCCTACTCTTTAATGTGAAGATGGTGGCTGCCTCCCAAACCCAAACTGGGACCTGATTCCACAGGAGAGGAGCTTGATAACTCAAGGCTCTGACTCACATTTTTGATATAGGAACCACAGGTAAGGAATCACCTAGAAGTAACACATGCGTGGACTCATTTTTCCTTTTTTATATATCTAAGTCTATAAGCAGGTGACGCTCTCTCTCAGGCGGGGGGAGCGATCAGGAGCTACCTACTCCTCGGCCAGCCTCTCTGGATCTCTCCTCTAAGTGGTCGGCTTTCCAACGTTGGTGTCTGGACCAGGGGACGGACCCTGTCTCCTGCCTGCTGCTGGCAGTGCTTTCGTTCCTTCAGCTGCTCATGGACAGGGGGCTGGCGTTCAGTAATGTTAAAACCTACACTGCCGCCATTTCGTACTGTCACCAGGGCTTCGGGGACAGGACTGTGTTCTCCCACCTCCGGTGAATCGCTTCCTTAGAGGGGTGCGCAGGCGCCGGCCGGTGATGCGGCCTGCTGCCCCACAGTGGGATTTGCCGCGCGATAACCCAAGCCCCGTTTGAGCCCTTGGAGACGGCGTACCTGAGGTTCCTTTTGGCTAAGGTCGCGTTGCTCCTGGCTCTGACCTCGGCCAAGATTGTCAGCGATCTGGCTGCCCTCTCTGTGGCTCCGTCGTGCCTCAGGATTCAGGGCGACGGCAGCTCAGCTATCCTGCGCCCTAACCCAACGTTCATGCCTAAAAGCATTACGAGCTCCTTTCAGTCGCGGGTCATCACCCTCTCGGGCTTTTTCCCTCCCCCCCATTGGTTGGCGGAGGACGCCATGTGCCACCTCCTCTGCCCGGTGTGGGCGCTGTCCTGCTATGTGGCGTGCACGGCCGCCTGGCGGCGTTTGCAGCGCCTGTTTGTGCACTACAGGGAGCGGTCCAAGGGACTTCCCCTGTCGGCGCAGCGCCTGTCTCACTGGCTGTGCGATGCCATTTCCCAGGCTTATGTGTCTGCCGGGGAGTCTCCCCCGGATGGCATCAGAGCGCACTCCACAAGAGGCGTCTCCTCCTCAGTGGCGTTGCACGGTGGGATGACAGTGGACGACTTCTGCACGGCGGCTTCCTGGTCGTCCCCATGCTCTTTCGTCCGTTTCTACCGTCGGGATGTCTCCCGTCTCTCTCTTACTCACTCAGTACTGAGTGTTTTGGCTGAGTGATCCTCCTTGTGAGTGTGCGGTGCGCCCTCTCCCACCGGACGGTGTGGTGATGCGGCTGCTGCTTACGTGGCCCTGCCTTGGGCGCAGCTGACGTGATTGCTGTCGTGACCCCGCCTGCGTCTGTACAGCTGCGGGGCCCCCCACTCGGTTTCCCGTCTTACGTATGGGTCGGTAAGTTGTGGGCCTCACTGGACCTTGGTTCTCAGTGCTGAAGAAAAGGCATTTGGGAGCCGAAGGCTGGGTCTCACCGTTGTATATATACAAGGTGCAGACATAGGAGAGGCCCACGCTGTGGTTGGGCGTAGACTAAAATTCTCAGTGCCGCGCAGGTGTGCGGAAGGGGTAAACCCAATAGCAATAGCCTTAGAGGACTGCACCTATACTCATAGAATCCGGGTTACAGTACGTAACCCCTGATCTCTTCATAACAACTTTATTGAAAAAACTGATGAAAAAACACACAAAAGAAGAATAAAAAACTTCCCAGAGAGCAGAGATCAAACTTGCAACCCTTGGCATGCAAGTCCTGCACTCCACCAACTGAGCTAACTACTGACACTGCAAACGAAATTATTGTAAGGAAACGCACCTGCCGACCCCTGTATGCAGTTATCCCGTTATCACGAGAAAACAACAGTCGTTATCTCGAGATCATGACACAATTATCCCGTTATCACGGGAAAACGGAGTAAAAAATAAAGGTTTGAATCGATGGCCGCCTCCATCCCTTGTTTTGCAGATTTGAAAGTAGGTTTCATACAGTCTTAAGGTTTTACCTGTGTTAATGTAAGTTTCCCCTAACTACCGAATCGTAAATTACAATTAGGATGAATAAAACAGAAAACTCCCTTGAGAAGTTTTCTTTGTAGTGCTACATATATTTCACATAAACTTTAAAAGTGTTGATGGTATAAAGCTTTAGAGTTGCTGGAAGTTAAACTGGTCTTTAGCTAAGATACTGAGTTCACATTTATATAAATAACCCTGAGTGGGCAAGGGAAAGGCTAATGGTAAAAGTCAATTATATTTTATATAGTGTAATCATCCATAATGTAGGCTTATACTTTCATCAATCGTATTAATCGCCATTCCTACAAATGTAGTCCGTCACACAACTTCTTCAACTCAAATAGTGCCCATGCTACAGGTAAAGGTGAAAGCTATAGACAAAAATTTGGAGAAGGAGCGACGATTCCCTCACACGTTTATCTGTAGCTGTCTTATACAACTGCAGCTGGCTCACAAGTGTCCAGCTAACCTCATACGTCATCAGCACGCGCCTGCTGTCTTGCTCGCGCCATTCCTACAAGCGTGTGTATCCATCTCCCATTACATTACCATTGTCAGAGCTTTAGCAGCCTGTGGTACAAGCACATACTCTGTTTTTCTACTGTCATTCTTTTAGGTGAGTCCGGTTTTATACTTCTCTTTCTGAGACATTTGCTTGAGGAAAGACGTTATTTATTTAGTATCAACGACGTTGTCGGCCCTTAGTTTCGGTGTGGATAAGTTTAGCT